AACCCAAATCCCCCACCCCAAAACCACAAAAAAAATAATTTAAAAATCCAGAAAGTCAATTCTTCAATTTTAAAAATTATATTAAAATACAGGGGTTAGAAGGGGGGGGGGTGGCCCTGGGTGGGGGTGAAATGTGTAAAATAAATCAAATCGTTTTTTGATAGGCGCCATATGGTCATTAATAAGTTATTTATGTATAGACAGTTATAGTAGTACAGTTTGAAATTTAAATAAACCTATCAGTCGACTGACTTTTTTTAGAGATGTATACTGCTTCAACTTCCTCTAGACTCTAGACTTAGATAAATCGTGTATTAATAAATATATGATGCCTTAAGTGAATATATTATAACTTTTTTTACATAATTATACCATTTCTTTGCATTTTTAAATGACCGGTCTGCCCCTGGCAGCACTACCCCGATCTACGCCACTGTATCTGATTTCACTATCAAGTCCCGTGTTATTGGGCTATTACGTCAGCTAGTTGCGATGAATGACTCTACAATAATACTAGCCTCAATGGCTCTAATACTTTGAAATATACCTTGCAGACTGTGATAAAAAGCAATTTCTAAAGAGCTCTTCTTTATCGAGTATTAAATGAGAGCATCACAGGATTACATGAGAGCATCACAGGATTACATGAGAGCATCACAGGATTACATGAGAGCATCACAGGATTACATGAGAGCATCACAGGATTACATGAGAGCATCACAGGATCAAGGGCACATTGCATAAATACACGTATTTAGTTGATATTTTGTATTGAATGTGCGCCTGAGGACATCAGTAAGGCAACTTTGGGCAAATTCTTGTTTAGTCCCAAGCATACAATGTCAACTTTAATAGTCTAGACCAGGCCTGAAAACAACTCAAAATGTAAAGCGAGCCGTACTTTATGAAAAACGTGTACGGACCGAAAGAAAATAGGACAAGGGGGGGGGGGGAAGCTATTAAGAAATAATAGTAATAAAGAATATTTCGTTACGTCGTGGGCCGCAAAGAGGGTGCTGGTGGGTCGCATACATATATATATATATAAAATTCTAGGTGTTGTTTAAATATATTTGAAACTCACTTTGGTGCGTCTTTGAACGCGGTGCATGAAAACCTTTATAAAACTTCCGGGACGCTGGGAATAGTGGTAGAATTGGTGGCATCAAGAAAGCAGGTTAAATAATATTATAGAGAGAGTAGATGTATTTATAGGTATCACAGCATACAAAAAACAATCTTGTTCAGATCATCCTCCTGAATTTCAGCCAGAGAATGTATGACTTGAGAACACGTAATTTTTAAACCCGATTTTCTTTAAGCTGGCCTACGTGTATGGATATTTTATAATTGTGGTTGAATATTGTCTGTAGGCAGAGCCGGTCGATGCAAAAAGCGAGGTATGCATCGTGCCAACGGCCCTGCGAGGCTTAAAGGCCCAAGGTCTGCATGGCACCAACGGCCCCACAAAATGCTCAAAGGACCCAAGGTGTGCATGGCACCCACGGCCACATGAGGCTTAAAGGGTCCAATGTGCGCATGGCACCAACGGCCCCACGAGGCTCAAAGGGCCATAGGTGTGCATGGCACCAACAGCCACACGAGACTCAAGGGGCCCAAGGTACGCATGGCACAAACGGCCTCAAGAGTATGAAAGGGCCATAGGTGTGCATGGCACCAACGGCCCCAGGAGGCTTAAAGGGCCAAAGGTATGGATCCTGACCAAGGCCCCACGAGGCTCAAAGGGTCCCGAATCCATGCAAGTGTAAGGGGCTGGTGGATATCATAGACTTCTTTATACAAGTTGTAGTGATTTTAGTGGAGTACCATTTTGGCTTGGATTATAGAATTAGAAAAAAAAACGTCAATGGCGGCACCTTAGATAATTTTCAGCCTATGAAAAAAATAAGTCGTGTTGTGGATGGTATAATGACAGCTCTTCTTTCATTTCTTCATGTAGGTTTTGCAAAGTATCTAGAGGCAAAGATCTCACCCGATTTAAAACGTATATTAAAAGTAGCAGAGGTAAATGCCATCTCTGGAGACAAAACAATGTAACGACGACAAGTTCACACATTTGCAGGAGTTTTTCTGCTTCATCCAGCTGTAACACGGCGCCTTCCAAGACGCCTGTCAAATTTAGTAATATATTGCATCTGAAGAAATGCTCTCTTGACAATGCGGACTTCCAGTGCCACAAGATCAACCTTTTGCTCAGCCAGGGATTCCACACTACGAGCAGACGACACGTCAGCCCTATTGTTTGGGTGCTCGTCATCAAACCAGTGGCGATGGTGGCAACGGCCATCGCCGGGAAAAAGACAAGAAACTGGTACATGAAGCAGAACGAAGACGACCGACATTATTACGAAAATTTGGCCAGGGAAAAATGGCTTTACCCCGCAGGTGTATTCTTAACAGCCCTGTTAGTATATTATTTGTTGCACATCGATAAAACACCAATCACGGGCAGGAGGCGCTTTATTTCATTCGAAAGGCAGCATTCCATTGAACTGGCCGAGCTGCAGGCAGAGATGATCAAGAAAATGTTCGAAGACGATCGATACAACGACAACGACCCACCGGCCAAAAGGGTGAGGACTGTGGCGCACAAGCTCATAACATCGAACCAAGATCTGGGAAATGTTGGCGACTGGGAGATCCATGTGATCAAGAACGAAAATCGCAATGCGTTCGTACTGCCGAGCGGTCACATTTTTGTATTCAGTGGTCTCCTCAAAGTGGCGAATAACGAGAACCAGCTCGCCATCGTGCTCGGCCACGAGATGTCACACGCTGTCTTGGATCATGGCGCAGAATCAATGAGCATGCGCAACTTCACGGACGACATATTCATCGTTTGTCTTTTCTTCATTTGGTGCATGTCCCCATCATATCTCAAAGGAGTGGCATTGTCGTGGTTTTGTCATAGTTTGTTCGACTTCCTGCTGAAGCCGTTGAGCAGAATGCAGGAGACTGAAGCAGACAAAGTGGGTATGATGTTTGCTTCCAGGGCCTGCTATGACTACAGGGAAGGAGCGGTGTTCTGGGAGAAGATCGCCAAAATAGAAAGTGCATTGGAGAATTTCACCATTCCGGAATGGCTCGGCACGCACCCGGACAGTTCGAAGAGAGCCAAGCAGATGAACAGTTTGGAAGATAAGGCGGTAGATTGGAGGAAAGAAAATGCACTGTGCGTACCCGCGCATGTCAAGGAGGTTAAGAAATGATAAAAGAAAGCCTCGTGGGGGGGGGGGGGGGGGACATCATTTTGGTTTGTTTTGGGGAAAAAATTTACCGCCCCTTTTTAAGGGGGGGTAAAAAAA